ACTCGGGGCCTGACCCCAGGTGACAAGGAGCCGGCCTGGCAAGTGGAGACTGCCTGGCCCTGGGTGCGGTGGGGGTGGTGGGAGCTACTGTTACTCTTTCTGCTGCTGTGGCCGCAGCCCCTGGGTCCCGGAGCCCCTGGGACCCGGAGCCCCCGGTTCTCTGGCCTTTTGGGAACAGGTCTGGGCGCTCTGGGCCTCCTTCGGGCCCCCTGGACCTGAGGATGGGGACCCCGAGCAGGAAGGGAAGGCTGGAGAGGTCTGGGTCAGGGTGCTCGGGAGGAATGGCCTGGCATCCGGTTTCCCTGGCAAGGGGCTCCCTCTGACTTTTGGAGTGACCAGGGCAGGCCCAGTGGGGGGCTGGGCAGACCCGGGTCTTGTTCCCTGGGATCCTTGGACCATGACAGTCTGTGGATTTGCCCCGGCCACTTTGGGGCTTACAGAGACTGTAGGGCACCCCCAACTGTCCCCAGGGGCCTCCTCCCAAAGCACCAGCCTGGCGGCACCTGCAGCAGCTGTGGGTGTGGAGATGCCCTGTCCTTAAGCCGACAGCGTCCACTGCACAGCCGCGGTGCCTAGGCCCGGGGGAGCGGGACACGCCGGCTGAGCCCTGCGGTGACGGAGTCGCTCACGTGGCTCCAGAGGGGCCCACGCTTGATGACCTGCCCAGTCTCCCATCCCCCAGCAGCCTGTCTACTGTCCCAGTTCTGGTCCCAGGGCCCTGATTTGCTGATGGCCCTTGATGCACGGCCACGGCCATGGTAACACCGCCCCTGGGGGGCCAGAGCCATTGACTCCTTCTTCAAAAGCCGGCCAAGCCCCAGCAGCCCCCAGGGGCCTCCGCCGGTCAGAAGCAGTGAGCTGTGACTCATCACACACCTTCCCCCTGTGCACACGCACACCGTGAGCAAGACCAGGTCCACTGTGGTTGCGACGTGACACTCAGAGGCCTCTCCCTCCCCCTCCCCTGTGAAGAGCCCTTTAGGATGAGGCTACAGGAAGCACAGGCAGCGGCAGCAGCATCCACCTGCAGCTGGGAAAACGGGGCTGTGTCTCTTGTGAGCTGTGTGCCCTTAGACCAGGTGCCCAACCTCTCTGAGCCTGTTTCCTCACTCTACATCCAGGACCGGGATCCAAGAAACAGTGGGATAGGATGTGGGCGTGCTCAGCACAGAGCCGGGTATCCATCGGGACGGACAATCTCTCAGTGCTTCTCCCTAAATACTTGACTGGGAGGGTCCAGCCTCGAAGCCTTAAAACTCGGGATCAGTTACAGATGGCTTCCTGTGTGCCCGTGCATTCATTTCATGTTCATTCATTCGTTCGTTCATTCACTTGTTCACTTAGCGGGTGCTCCTGTGTGCCAGGCCACGTTCTTAGTTTTACCACTGATGCACATGGCAGGGGCGGTGGGCCTGGACCAGTTTGTAGGAAGGCTTGGGTGCTGGAGAGAGAGGGTCTGGCAAGGAGACTGGGCTCCATCCCTGGGCCAGCTGGGTGCCCACACACTTCCACCGAGTGCTCTCAGCAGCCCTGGACGGGCAGACTGGGCTCACCTGTCTAACCGATGAGGAAGTGAGCATCCCCCAGTCCCTAAGCGGGCACGTGGGAGGCGACCCTGCTCTGCATCTCCCAGCCCCTTTGGTCCTATTTCAGGCTCACAGCCTTTGTCCTGAAGTCCTTTGCCCAGGCGCGAAGCTTCATCTTCATCGACCCCCGGGAGCTGGCGGCCGCCAAGGGCTGGATCGTGCGGCAGCAGCAGGTGGACGGCTCCTTCCCAGCCACAGGCAGGATTCTGAACAAGGACATCCAGGTGAGTGGCCTCCGGGCCTCCTCTCGGTCCCTTGGCCCTGCCCTGCCCTGCCTGCTCCAGGTGCTGCCGGCCGTGCGGTGAGGGCTGCCCCCTCTGGTCGGAGTGAAGCTGAGAATCCTCTTGTAGGGCGGGATCCATGGCGCAGTCCCGCTGACGGCCTATGTGGTGGCTGCACTTCTGGAGACGGATGTGGCCTCGGAGGTGAGCACAGGGGCCCCGAGAGATCAGGCGGGAGGAACCGGGGAGGGGTTCCCCCTGCTGGCCTGTGCGGGTCAGGCCTGGGTCTGGGTCCCCTGCTGTGCCATCCCTGGCGCCTGCCCCGGAAGGTACAGGGTGCATCTGGACACCACACCTTCACAGCAGCCCCCACGCTCTGTCCTGGTCTAAAGATGGGAAGCTTGGGGAGAGCTGCCTTCTGCGATCTTCATGACACTAAAGCAGAGTCAGCTTAACTCTACGGCTCCCCTGGTGCCCGCGGGAACACGTGGCTCATTTGCTAATTCTTAAATGCTTCCAATCACCCATTTCTCCATTTAACCATTATTTTGAGGCAGTTTCCCTGAACCTGCCCATCACTGGACAATAAACTGGGTTTCCGTCCTCCAGCAACTCACACTGGGGGGTGGCGGGGGGGGGGGAGTGTGAGCAAGGCTGGTGGGCTCTCTGGAGGAGGCGAACGTTGATTCGAGGCCTTGAAGCTGAGAAAAGTGGAGCAGTGGGTCTCAGAGGCCAGCGTGGTGACGAGGGAGGTGGGTGGGCGGGCAGCGCTCTGCCTGTGTCCTCAGAGCTCCTCTGGGATGATATGATGTGCTCAGACTTCATTCGGGAATGCTG